AGGGCAAATAGCCAGTAACGCACCTAATACTGTAAAATGCGTTAACAGATGACAAAATGATAACAACAGGCCAACAGGTAGTAACAACAGGCTAACAGGTGATAACAACAGGCCAACAGGTAATAACAACAGGCCAACAGGTGATAACAACAGGCCAACATGTAGTAACAACAGGCTAACAGGTAGTAACAACAGACCAACAGGTGATAACAACAGGCCAACAGGTAATAACAACAGACCAACAGGTAATAACAACAGGTAAGGACCGGGATAGTTAGTTAAGACATAAAGGAATAAGATGAACCTTTACATCAGAACGGACTCATGGGTGGAAGTCTCCCAGCTACAGTTCTGCACCTTTGCCTGGGCTAAAGACTCCCCCCAGACTCTTCTTGACTCTCCCAGCAATTAACCTGGCGTGAAATTTGCGCTGTGCTTATACCAGTACCGGGAAAGGTGAGGGAGTGACGGGTAGGGGTGGTGTACTGGGAGGGATGTGTGAGGGGTTTCTACTGGGGGGGAAGGAAGGTGTGAAGCAGTAGGGGAATACCGGGGAGGTGTTTTGTGTGTGTGTGTACTGGTAAGGAGTGTGTGTGTGTGTACCGGGAAAGAGGAAGGAGGGAGAGGAGAAAGGTTAGATTGGGGGGAGTTGGGGACCCACTCAATCAGTACGAAGGGTGGAGGAAGGGTGTAGAGGAAGGGTGTAGAGGAAGGGTGTAGAGGAAGGGTGTAGAGGAAGGGTGTGGAGGAGAGGTGCCACTTACACTCGCTACCATCACTAATGTCATTAACTACTCACCCCCCCCATCCCCCTTCCTTCCCTACCACCACTACTACCTCCGTTATGCTAATTAATTATTACTAATTAACACCATCATCTTCATCTATACTACCACAAACTCCTACCACTATTACCACTACTACCACCATCAACGAAGCTATTACCATCACAACTATTACAATCCCCACCACCACACTACCACCACTACCACCATCACCAACCACCACCACTATACCACCATCGTGCCAAACACACCAAGAACGATTGATTAGAACATCTGGTGGTGGTGGTTGTTTTTATTAGGATATTTGTTTATTTTTCTTGTCTCGTTAAGTTATTTATGGTTTAAATGGATGATTCGTAACACCACGGGGTCGACTCTTGCGAAAATAGTATACCAAAAAAAATATCACCAATTAAGTGGGGTTTTTTTTTTTACGACTTTTATGATTGTCTGAGAATATGTTTTTATAATTGATCTCCTTATTATGTATGTATGTATGTATGTATGTATGTATGTATGTATGTTTTGAAGTGCTATTGAACCAAATGTCTCGAAAACCTTGGAAACACACACACACACACACACACACACACACACACACACACACACACACACACACACACACACACACACACACACACACACACACACACTAAAAAAGAAATAGGGAGAGGACACGAATAAATCACCACTATCAACAGCCCAGCACTAATTAAGGCCAGGCTTGGTCTCTCGATTAGACCACCCGCAAGCGGTAAAGTGCGGCCCTTCGACACACGTCTGCCGCACCCCCACAACACTTTTTCTCTCTACCTTTGGGTTTTTCTGTAGCTGCGGGATAGTGCTGTTGACGTCTCGTATACCTGTCGTAAGTTCTCCACCTCCTAAGGGGAAGGAAAACTATGTAAATGGGTGTCGTAGTGTGTGTGTGTGTGTGTGTGTGTGTGTGTGGGTGGGTGTCGTAGTGTGTGTGTGTGTCTCAGTAAAACAGTGTAGCCGATGCTTTTGATACTTCTTTTATTGCCACAACAGCTGAGGAACTTTTGTTGGCCGGGGGAACTGACTCGTTCGTTCACTCTCTTATCACCACAACAGCTGAAGGGGAGCGAGATCGTACAGGAAGAGAGACTAGTCGCTTTTTGTCCAGAGTTTTTGATATTGTGTTTATTTTGATGAGTTTTATATGACAACATGTGTGTGTGTGTGTGTGTGTGTGTGTGTGTGTGTGTGTGTATGTGTGTGTATCTGTGTTTATACGTGTATGTAGAACCAACAATTACGTTAATTACAACTCAGCGAAGGGCAAGTAAATCAGGATCGTACAATGTTTATTTCCGTTTTGTGTTTACCCTCCCAATGTTGTAAAAATAACCACGGACAGGTATAAGCGGCGGTCCTCCCTCAACACGCGCCATCCCGTCACTGACCTTACTGACATAAAGCCTTTGTTTATGTATACAACTAATCCACCAGAGGGAAGTCCAATCAATACAGCCAATCATCGCGTGAGTCATAACAACCCAACTCGACTTAACAAGCATCAGTTCGTGGTATTATAGCTAGTTCATAGATATATTCACCCTCGTAATGATGTTGTTTGGTGTTTTGGGTGTGGTTATTCTGGGAGGTGTAGTGGTGGTAGTGGTAGTGATGGTAGTGATAGTGGTAGTGGTAGTGGTAATGATAGTGGTGATAATAGTGATAGAAGTGATAGTGGTAATAGTGATAGAATCATAAAAGTAGTGGTATTAGTAGTGGTATAGTGGTGGTTGTAGTAGTAGTGGTGGTGGTGGTTGTAGTAGTAGTAGTAGTGGTGGTGGTGGTGGTTGTGTTTATTTGGGTGAGTCAGCGTGTGCAGTGTGTTTGTGTCGGTCAATAAGAGAGGTGTATTTAACAATGGTATAAAGCATAGAAGGTGTGGTTGGGTGTAAGATGGTGTAGTGTGATAGAAGACGAAGAGGAGGAAGAGTAAGAAGAGGAGGTGGTGGAAGAGGGCGGAAGTAACCCTTGTTCCTTCTCCTACAGGTATAAATAAATCTTCCCCATTCCACTCCTGAAGAAGTTATAAAAAGGAAAATCCCCCAGAAAAAAAATCAATAAAAAAAAAAGAAATTCAAAACGAAAAACGAGAATAAAACGATTGAAATAAAAGAATAAAACAAAGGGTGAGAAGAGGGGTTGCTGTGAGAGGAAAGGGACCCAGCTCTTGGTCAATTCATTAATCAGTGACCAATCTGTCGTAAAGGAAATCGAGTGTTTTTCCATTAATCCTCCGTGAGATTAGCAAAACACAGCTGATTAACCCCAATTAACCTGTGTGTGTGTGTGTGTGTGTGTGTGTGTGTGTGTGTGTGTGGCTATAACGAATGAGCGTCGAATCCTGGCAAATGGTGCGTGGCGCTGGTGAGGAGGACAGCCCCAGGCACAACACAGGTCTCTCTCTCACACACACACACAAAAAAAACACCCACTGACAGTCAACGGATTGGGCGGATGTCTAAAGACCCAGCTACCGGGCTTGATTACAGGTGAGCCTGGCGTGTGTACTCATACTTTGATCTGATCGCTTGAAGATTAGACACCCCTCCAGCTTATTACAGCTAAAGATTACACACCCTAAAGCTATCTAAAGGTTAGGTTAGGTTTAGGTTAGGTTAGGTTAGGTTAGGTTAGGTTAGTATTAGGGTGGTTAATCTTAAGGTGAAATAAACTAGGGTGTCTAGACTTCAGATGATACCAATGATCTTGATTCCCGGTGATAATTTGTGAGCTGATCCAACCCATCGGAAAGGTGTCCAAACCCTCTGATTTTACTGTGACAAGTTCCGGGGGACACAACTTTAATATGGTCGTCGGATGTCTTAAATTTGACTGTCAGACGTGAAATTGGCTACTTCACATGTAGGACTTGACACTCGGTCTCTAATAGGTACTTTAAGACACACGAGAGCCGTAATTCATCAGTATTATGTAGTGTAACTATTGATAATATTGGTTCTTGTTGTGTAGAAACCTTGTTATAAACTTTATGTAATCGACGGAGGATTCTCAGTACATGGCAAAATATAGGAGACTAGTGTAGGAGGAAGAGGATGAGAAGGATGTTACGCCCCCTTGCATCCTGGATCCTGACACCTCACCGCCAGGAAGGACCTCAAGTCTCACGCAACACTCCTGAAGGTGGATTGGGTGAACCGACTGAAATCCAATGACATGTTTGATAGAGATTGAAGGAGATTGGATGAATTCGAGTACTGATTGGACACCCGGAGAAGTTAAGTGCCACACCAATACTGAAGGGGAAAAAATTCTTTGGCACTCGCTGGCATACCCGAGCGTGCCATAAAACGATGTATAAGGAGGTAATGGTGCCGTTTGAACACATTACCTTCATTGTTTACCCGATAATTACGTCCTATATTTAACAACAACAACATTAGTAAATGCTCTCATGACTGCAGAATTACCTAGTTATTGACAGTGACTCGACGCTGTTCAGTAATGTACGAGTATAAAGTAGTTTGGGATACTTTTGACTCAATAGACACTTTAATGAGTAATGACATCGTTATTATAAGCACTGACGGTGGCTGGGAACAGGTGACGTATCCGACAGTGTTATCATCAGAAACACAACGTGGTATTTTAAACTGTTTCAAATCACCTGTTATCCTAAAAGTGCCTGAAATAGGTCGTACAATGACTGACTATCACAATACAAGATCGCTTTGTAATATAATAATAACAACAACTTTATCTCTTACACGATCTGTCTTTACCCATTCATCTGACAACTGGGACCACCTGACCTCTGGCACTGATCACCTGCCGTCACCTGACAATAACTGATAGTGACTGATGCATAAAGTGGCTTGTGTAACACCCAATAGCGTCTAGGTTAATATTTCTTGACGGAAAAAAGATAAGTTGTTGGGTGTTATGGTAGAGAATAAGTAATGAAGCATAGAACAAACTCCAAGTACACGATGACACTTGACCCTCACACTTGACCTTCATCTAGTGACCTCACCTGATCTGCTAAAGACTATATATAGTAACCTGACGTGAACCTACTGACGAAGGGCATGGCGTCCTGGAGTTTGACCTGCTGAGGAAGACGTCGAATAACCTGTCTTTTTTTAAACCTGTTACGAGAAGACCATTGGGTGACCTGACAAGACTTGCTGATGAAGAAGAACAGTGCCAGTGACTTACCTTCTTGACAATCTCCTCAGTGTTCATACTGCTGTACTGGTCGAACTGTTGCTGCGTTATAGGCGGCAGGATGGCCTTGAGGGGCTTTTGTGGGACGGGGGAGTTGGTGTTGATGGAGGGCCCCGTCATGAGAGAGTTGGTGATGGAGGCCATACGCTGTAGAGGCGACGCCGACACGTTCAGGTCTTCCCCGGCGCTGCTAACTGCGATTGAGGTGATGGGTGTTACTAAGTTGCCCAGAGGTGTGGCCGTGCTTAGACCTGAGGGAGGAAGGTGGAGGTGCGTAAAGGATTACACCCGTGCTGGAGAGAGTCTCAGAGTCTCCGTGTGTGTGTGTAAGTATAGGTAAGCAGGCGAGGTGTAGCGGTGCAAGGGATCAAGGATAAGTGTAAAGATGAGAAAAAAAGGGGACAAGGAGAGGATTTATATCAACACCTGGGGTATTGACAGGTGTACAGGAACGGGAAGGACAGGTACGTACCAACAGTTGAGACACGTAAACACATCAACAGGTGTGGTGCAAGGACAGGTGTAAAGGAACGTCATGAACAGGTGTGAGGAAAGAACATGAACACGTACACTAGATGAAGAACATAAATAAACTAAAACGTCACACAAAAATCCACCAGAGTCCGAAAAGAAAAAAAGGAAAAGACAGAGAGAAAAGAAAAAGAGAAAAAAAAAAGAATAATAATAATAATAAGAAGAATAGAGATTAGAGTGGCAGTAACAAGAGCAGGGAATAAGGAAGGGGGAGGCTCACACGTCCATACTCAACAGTGTATGAAGATATAGTAAGTAAGAACAGCATAGTTTAAGGCAAGGTACAATGCCTGCTATCTTATGTAGGGCTGGAACAGGTAAATGAGTGAGTGAGTGAGTGAGTGAGAGTAAATGGGTGAGTGAGTGAGTGGTAGCGACTTCACACACACGCATCTCCAACACAGCCGCGATACCAGGAAGAGGAGGAGGAGGCCAGCATGCGGGGTAGTGGTGAGGGGAGGGGGGTATGGTAGTGGTGGTTGTAAGGAGGGTGTGTTGTGGTAATAGTGGTGGTGGTGGAGAGGCAAATGAGGGAGAAATGAGAGGGAGAAGAACACCTAAAACAGTCAAGGAAGGTGGAGGGAGGGAGCAGGGAGGAGGGAGGGAGGAGGAAGGGAGCAGGGAGGAGGGAGGGAGAGTTGTATATGACATTAGGAGGAAAATGAGGACGATGAGAGAAAGTAATGGATTAAGGATAGGGAGGAGAGGTTAAAGAGGAGGTCAGAGGGAGGGAGAGAGAGGGAGAGAGGGAGAGAAAGAAGATCAAGGAGGAGGAAGACGAGGAAGAGGAGGAGGAGGAGGTAGGAAGGGTATAGGGAAACCTTTCAAGGAAGACAATATATAAGACACTTGATCAATAACAACACATTAATAATCATCACTATACAGAGTCGTCCAAAAAGAATAATGTTAAAAATCTAGGTATTCTTTTTTTGGATGACCCTGTATGTACATGTTATAACCTGATTGGTGAAGAAAATATATCTAAATTATCAGACATATTAACAACAAGTATTAACAACTATTAACAGGAAATATGTGTCATAATTATTTCTTTATTTTTCCTATGTAATAATCTAAGGTTATTCTGTTAATGTTATGAATGAATGTAAAAAAAAAATGTTTCAGTGTTTAAAAAAAAGATATTAATTATTACCACCAGCACCATCATCATCATCATCATCATCATCATCACTACCATCACTGTTATCACCATCACCACCATCACTGCCATCACCATCATCACTACCATCGTCACTACCATCACCATTACCATCACCACTACCATCACTACCATCATTATAACTACCATCATCATCACCACCCTCACCACCACCCTCATCTCCACTACCACCATTATCAACCTCATCACCACCCTCACCATCATTACTACCATCACCATCACCACCATCAGCACCACCCTCATCTCCACTACCACCGTTTTCACCCTCATCACCACCATCACCCTCATCACCACCACCACCATCACCACCTTCACCATCGCCATCACCATCACCATCACCACTACCATCACCACCATCACCACCACCATCACCACCCTCACCATCACCATCACCACTACCATCACCACCATCACCACCACCATCACCACCATCACCCTCATCACCACCACCACCATCAACACCATCACCACCATCACCACCATCGTCTCACTGTTATCTACCCACATCTTGATCTTGTGATAGTAACAATATAGACAACAGCTGCACAAACACTCCAAGTTTCTCTTAATTGGGCATGATTTACACCCTTCTCCCTCCCTCCCTCTTTGCCTCCCTGTCTCCCTCTCACCTTCCCTTTTCTTCCTGTCTCCCTCCCTGTCTCCCTCCTTCTCTCTTTGCCTCCCTGTCTCCCTCTCACCTTCCCTCTCTCCCTGTCTCCCTCCTTGTCTCCCTATTTTCCTCCCTCCCTATAATAATAATAATAATAATAATAATAATAATAATAATAATAATAATAATAATAATAATAATAATAATAATAATAATAATAATAATAATAATAATAATAATAATAATAATAATAATAATAATAATAATAATAATAATAATAATAATAAATAAATAAATAAATAAATAAATGAATAAATAAATAAATAAAATCCCACGAAACTGTATTAAAAAAAAACGAAAAAAAAACGATAAAAACAAAAACTGTTCTCGTCCCCAAACAGAAGTGCCAAAAGACACCCATGTAGTGCCGCCTATAGTGCCAGTTTCTTTAACCAATGGTGTGGGGGGGGTGATGTATTTACTGGCACTGTTACAGAGTGAAGGGAGGGAGGAGGGCAGTAAGGGAGAGCGATTAAGTAAGGAAGGGAGAGATAGGGACTGAGAGAGGGTTAATAAAGGAGGGAAGGGGAGGAGGGAGAGACTGATAGAGGGTAATAGAGGAGGGAAGGGAGAAAGGGTGAGGTAGGGAGAGAAATAAAGAGGGAGGGAAGGAGGGAGGTATGATGTCACCTTCTCAGACGCCCAAAACTGATGTCACAGGAGACCTTCCCAAGACCTTATGTCATCTGAACCGGATTTTGCTCATGTGATACTTGTATATAAACACCCTCCCTCCCTCTCCTGCCCCTCTCTCTCCCTCTCCTGTCCCTCTCTCTCCCTTTCCTGTCACTCTCTCTCCCTCTCCCTCTCTCCCCTCTTCTGCCCTCTCTCTCCTCTCCTGCCCCTCTCTCCCTCTTCTGCCCCTCTCTCTCCCTCTCTCTCCCTCTCCTGTCGCTCTCTCTCCCTTTCCTGTCACTCTCTCTCCCTCTCCTTCCCCTCTCTCTCCCTCTCTCCCAATGTGTTCGTCTTCCTGTCTCCTTGTCTCCTTTAGTCTCTTTCATTATCTATCTCTTCCTGTTTCTCTCTCAGTCTCTCGCTCTCTCTTCCACTCTCTAATTTATACTATGTTTCTATCTGTCTGATTGTCTCTCTCTCTCTCTCTCTCTCTCTCTCTCTCTCTCTCTCTCTCTTGATGCCAGAATAGGTTTTATGCCACTTGCATAGGCACCGTACACATATCGGTACACACACGCACACACACACACACACACACACACACACACACACACACACACACACACACACACACACACACACACACACTCATTGATATACAACAAGCATCCGAATCGCATCAGAGTAATAAAAAGAGCATCAAATGTAATCATATTGGTGCAATTGACCAGAAAACAAAGAGACTTGTATCATTTATTGCAATGCATCTGGCTGAGGGGGTGAGAGAGGGGGTTATGTGGGGGGTAGAGAAGGGGAGGTGGGTGGAGATGGGTACAGGTCACTTGTTAGGGAAATTATTACCCAGGAGTCCATTATAATCCAGGGAGAAAAAAAAGTTTACAGGGGAATAATTCGTGTCCAGACGATCTCAAACCTACTCACTTAAGATCGGATCCTAAATGAGTTCTGTGTTATGTTTCACTCGTCTATAGTGTGTGTGTGTGTGTGTGTGTGTGTGTCAGTGTGTTGGTCTTCTTCCGTGAAAGTTTCAATTTCAGAGTTAATTTAGCGTGTAAAATACAGCTTAAAGACAAAGATAAATAAGTAAAAGTAAGCGTAATAAATTTTCCACGGGGACAGAAAACAACACGAAATGGAATGAACTAGATCGGACAAACAAGTGAATCAGTTATGCAAATAAGCAATAAAGAGTTACGGCCCCGGAGTTGCCAGCTGCTTAACTAACTCATAGTTTATCATCAGCCCCTCAGACAGGCCACCTGGTCCAAGTGGTAAATATTTACTTAACTCCATAAATGACAAGCTGTTAATGAACATATACCCTGATGGGGCACGCTGAAGGAGAGAAAAAAAACAACAGCTAAATGAAAGAGGAGAGGCAGAGGTGGCAGTGCGTCTTGATGACCAATTTTGATATTACAATTGACCTCCAGAGCTGATGTTAGCGGCGAGGCCCCCAGTTTTACATGATAACTTGGGGAAGAAGACAAAAAAAAAAACCTTCTTAGAACAATGGTTTATCTTAGCGGCGCCTTGAGGGCTTCCTTGCTAATAAATTATCTTATTATCAATCAACCTCACATGTTGGTTCAGTAAAACACGTAAATTTGAGTGAAGTGATTTAGTGAGGTATATGAGAACAAAACACGACAGTAAAAAAAAAAAAAGACAATTCAAGGTTGATTACGACTGCTGAACGCTGGTCGGTACTGGTAGTTTAGCCTCACTGCAGCATCGGCGGCGGTGGAGACCATCCAACAATAGGAATGACGTGGCTGAGGGCGGTGTGCGGCAATAATGATATCGCTCTCAAGCCCACACAGATAACCATCAGGAGGTCGTAGATGCTGCCGCCCTGACTCACACTCGCCTCATCTCGTACTAGAATATCACAATAAATTACCCGTCTGACACAATCTGCGGGTATATCTGGCTAGCCTGGGCCCTTTTCATCACGGCTATGGGAGGGTAGAAACCGAGGGAGAATTTTCTTTACTATGGGAGTAGAATGGAGTGTTTAGGGGGGGGGAGGGGAGTAGTTTATCTCATGGGAGTATAGTAAAGGAAGGATGTGCCCTCTTACCCGTGCCCAACTGATATACGACACGACATAAACAAGACTCTGGATCAACAGTTGTTTGGTGTGTGTGTGTGTGTGTGTGTGTGTGTGTGTGTGTGTGTGTGTGTGTGTTAACCTGAGATGAAGAGCGACTTATGTACAGTACCTCTAACAACACTTCGTTTGGTGACTAATATTAAGTACTAGAAATTTTAACTACTTTTTTTCTTCATATTCGTCTTCCTTCTTTTACCTATTATCTCCCTTATATCTCCTCTTCTCCCTATTCTTCCTGTCTTTCTCACTTTCCTTGTATCTTATTTCCTCCTCCCTCCCCCCTCTATATTCTCACCCTGTCTTTCTACCACTCTTCTTCTTCTTCTTCTCTTGCTTTCTCTATCTCTCTCCACTCTTTCTCTCCCTCCCACGCTTTTCATGTCTCTCCTTCTCACTAAAATTACACCCACTTGTCTCTGAGAGTCTCGCGGGAGAGCTAATAGCCACAGTACTGCAGCTCTCCCAGTGTGTATGTCGGGCCTTCCTGTCTCTCTCTCTTTGTCTCTCCGCGTCTCTAAAATTCCACCTAATTCGTTCCTGACCATCTCAAGACACGACAAACATCGTCCTCTCCTTCCTTCCTTCCCTCACTGTCTTCATTCCCTCACTCACCAGACATGAGTGAGTGAGTGAGTGAGTGGTATGGGTAGAATGAATGAATGAGTGAGTCAGTGGAATGAGTGAGTGAGTGAGGACGACCCAGTGCTCTCTCTCTCTCTCTCTCTCTCTCTCTCTCTCTCTCTCTCTCTCTCTCTCTCTCTCTCTCTCTCTACAATAGATGCTCCATTGCCTTTGTGGTGGAGGTCAACTACAAGTCAACTACCATCCCCACCACTCATCAACCAGGGTATTGTGTCTCTGTTGTGGTTGTGGTAGTTTTTTGTGGTTGTTTAACTGGTGGTTATAAAACTCTGGTGGCTACGTGTGTGTGTGTGTGTGTGTGTGTGTGTGTTTAGGGAACAATGCTGATGTACTCTTTCTTAGACATGTGGTAATTGTGGTTGTTGTAGTTGTTTTAGGCATCTGTTGTGGTTTAAGGGGTTGTAGTTATTATGTTTATTAATTGTTATTGTATATTAACTGTTATTGTAGTTGTGATGTATTGTGGATCTATTTTTATAACTATTGTGGCTAATTGATGTTGTAAAACCAACTGTTGTTCATTTAATATTATTGTAGTTTATTGTTGTTGTAGTGACCATTGTTGTAGTTGGTGTTGTATTATTGTATATTGTATTTGTTGAAGCTCTGATGTATTGTGTTTTTGTTTGGGACATGGATATAACGGTGTTTTTTTTTGTTTTTTGTTTTTTTAGCTGTCAAGTGTTAAATGGTGTTTGTTATTGAAGCTGTAAGATGATAATGGTGTTTGTTTTGTTACTGTAAACTTAAAGGCTAAATACTGTTTGTTTATGATGCTGTAAAGGCTAAATTTTGTTTGTTTATGATGTTGTAAAAGCTAAATGCTGTTTGTAAGGTAAATGGTGTGTGTGTGTGTGTGAGTGCGTATGTATGTATGTATGCGTGTACCTATCTGTGTATTTGTTCATGTAAGTACGTGTATGTGTGTTTCTACTCTAATCATGTGAAATATATGAAGTTACACAACAGAAGACCTTGTTGTTGTTTATTCTAAGATACAAAAAAAAAAAATACAAAATAAAATCTCTGCTGTAAGATACACTAACGGGAGTCAGGGCAGTTGTGGTTAGTCTTCTGTGTTCTGTGGCCATGTTGGATTATAACACCTTTGTCATCATTATATATATAGCCATTATTTTACGACTCTGGTGTGGTGTTGTAGTATAATTGTTGTTGTTTTTGTTGTAAGGTTTGTTGTTTGTTGTTGTTGTTGTTTCGGTATTTAAACCTTTAGTTGTGATTGTAATTATTTTCTTTATAATTATGTAGTTTCATCATGATTAGTTAATTATACTCGCGATTGGTGTTGTCTGATTTACGCATTCTTTTTTTTTTTTTAATTAATCGTGATTGGTTTAGGTAATGACTGGTACTCGTGTGGAAGGCGCGGCCGGGGGTGTGAGGAGACAGGTAACAAAGGGCTTCCGGCAGATGCAGGAGGTCACTTAGTTATACCACCTCTGCCTTGGGTAAATATAACGTTGGTCGCCTCATAACATTTTACAACCTATGACAGCCAGCCATTATCTGTACACCACACCCCATCATCACTATCACCATCATCATCACCATCATCATCATCATCATCATACTCCTCATCATCATTTTTCTTCTTCCTCTTCTTTATCACTATCAACCTCCTCACACTCCTTCATCACTATCACCCTCACCCTCTTCTATACCTCTTCCTATTGATCCAATCATGCCTCCTTCTACATCACCATCACTCCCCTTCTCACCATCCTTCTCGTGTCACATCCCCTTCCATCCCTCCATCACCCTTCCCTCCCTCCCTCTCTCTCCCCCCACACACCTCCATCACCCCCTCCCCTCACCACCACATCCACCAATCACCTCAACACAAAAAATATGTAATAATAATCTCTAAGTAAACAAAAGCAAAGACGAACAAAAGAGACAAATGAGGAAGAGAAGATTGCACTTGCACACACACACACACACACACACACACACACACACACACACACACACACACAAAACTCCCAACGTTCCCCTGATTCGCAACGAAGCCATTTATGCTCAGGTCATCTCAGGAGCCCTTAGAGGCGAATGACGACATGAGAAATGGTCGGCTGGACATTAATTTTCATAATTTGCTGGCATATCCGATCACCAACAATGCACAGGTGAGACTAACGGATTGCAGCCCTGCTATTGAACGATGGAGGCGGCCGGGTAATGAATGGCGGGCCGAACATTGATCTATTATGACAGAGGGTAAGAAGAGGGGTAGGGGGAGAAGGGAAGGGAGGAGGGGAGAAGAGGGTAAGAGAAGGGAGGGGAGGAGGGGATAGGGAAGGGAGGGAGGAAGACTCAAGACCCTGCCATCTAAAGAGACCGCAACACCTGACATTTTAAGATCCATTCTATTTTCCCTAATGATCGCTGACATACACACTTACACACACACACACACACACACACAGACACACACACACACACAACAAAGGCGGAACAATTAATCTTCACAACCCAGAATAACGACTCTAGTGTCTACTGTACAATACTTTAATATATAGTATACAAAAAAAAAAGAAAACAGAATAAAAACTCGGCGAAACCAGGTTGAGAAATTCAGTGTTACCAGCTGAGCGGAACACACCATATGGCACCTGACAAGAAACGGGCCCGGCCACCACTACAGTCCCAGGTGTCGGTGTAAAAAAAAATCTACATGCTCCCTTTTTCCATTTGTCAAGCTCAAAGTGTATAATAAGAGAGATGAAGAAATAGGAGGGTGAGGGGAGGCGAGGAGAGGAAGGGGGAGAGAAGGAGGGGAGAGGTGAGGGGAGGCGAGGAGAAGAAGGGGGAGAGAAGGAGGGGAGAGGTGAAGGGAGATGAGATAGTGTTTACATATTCTTCGTAATTATCGTATTTATTTTATGTTTGTTATTAATACTTGTTGTTATTTATATATGTATTTATTATCTTATTATCTATCCATTCACAAAAAATATATCCATCTATTGTATTCATCCATTTATCCATGACGTCCACTCATCCATCCACCCATCCATCCATCCATACATATATGCGCCTACCCAGTACCACACTCATTCACCACACTCACCCACCACACTCACCCACCCGAATTAGTTTTATAGGTTACTCCAACAGCTGTTTCGTCTACTTTCCCTAACAACCTAATTTAATGACCTAATAATTTAAAACCATCTGCCTATGTGTGATGTTGTATTCATCTTTTACGATATAATGACATATTTACTGTGTGCGTGTGTGTGTGTGTGTGTGTGTGTTGTTATCTATGTACTACTTCAATCCATCTATTCCTTTATTAATATATCCCTTAACTCTCTCTCTCTCTCTCTCTCTCTCTCTCTCTCTCTCTCTCTCTCTCTCTCTCTTTCTATGTAACCCTTCTTTATCTATCACTCTTATCTATCCTTCTTTTCATCCATCTTCTCTTCTTCCTTCATCTTTCTTCCTTTCATTCATATTTATTCTCCTCTCTGTTAATAGTTCCTTCGTTGGTACTTACTCGTTTCCGCTTTTGATCTGCTAGGACCGAAGGGTGACGTCACACTCAGATTACGGCCATCTTCTTCCTCGTCCATGCCTCGATGTTCTCTCTTGGGTAGCGAGAGGTCTTGGGCACCGTTGTGAAGCCCACCGGCGCCCAAACTAACGCCCATGCCTAGGGAGCCTCCGACGCCCACGCCCAAACCTCCAGCGCCACCCATACCCAAACCTGTTATAAGGGGAAAAAAGTGAGAATGGGGTGTGAGTAATTTTGCTCTCTCTCTCTCTCTCTCTCTCTCTCTCTCTCAAGGAAAGATTAAAATTCATGAAAAATCCGACAAGACAAAAAAGAAAAAGTTTATCAAGCATCACATACCAGCAGCGCCTAGACCCATGCCAGTAGCAGTGCCCTGTAGTTTACTCAGCTCCTGATGGTAGGCGTCTAGGGCCATCTTTACTTCTTCAGGAGATCTATTGAAGAGCAGCGATTGTCCCAGGAAGGGGAAGAGGATCCCTGGGTACTGAGGATCCCGTGGTAGGGGTAGTGGGGGTTCCTGGGGTCGTGACATCAATTTGACAAGTTCTTCCTGGTAGATTCTGGCGACTTTTTCCTGCGGCATGTCATCGTTGTCGAATTTTCGGATGCGCGGCCGACTGTCTCGTGAGAGGGGGCTGCTGGAGGGGAGGTGAAGAAGGGGGTCATAAAGTCTAAGGCGTTTGTTTACATTACCTCTCTCAGTACCACTATAGTTCCCAGTACACATCAGAAACAAACAACTATGAATGAGGTTTCCTTCTGTCACGCTGAGGAATATCTTTACTAATAACTTACACTGCGAAACATCATCATTTAATTTAACTTTTCAACAAATAAAATCAACAGACGTAACTTCCAAACACAAATATACACAAAAAATAGTTAATAAAGAAAAGAGTAATTTAACATTCTTATTTTATTGGATCACCTGAAGATTAGATTCCTCAGTTTATTTCACCTGATTCTTAAACGCCCTAACGTTACCTAGGAGTGTTAGGTTAGGTTAAATTAGGGTACATTACTTTACATTATATCAGGTTAGGTTAGATTAGCGTTAGGGTTGTTAATCTTAATTTGAAATAAGATAAGCGAGGAAGGCTAATGTTCAGGTGATCCAATTTTGTTAATATTCGACACAGGTATTGTACAAGACCCAGAGAAGAGATGGACAGGAAGATGAGTCTCCTAGTTCACCTGGGTGTGTGTGTGTGTGTAGGTGGCTCACCTGGGGGAGTGTGTGGAGCTGGCTGGAGACTTGGAATCGGTGCTCCGTGAATCTTGGTCTTGCTGGCCGGGTTGGCTGGGGACCGAGGTAGAGGTCATGGCTCGAGACGCCTCACTTAGGATGTGTTGGATCCTTTCCTCCGTCACCGTCTCGTCGGGACCTCGGTACCCAACGCCCGCCTCCTTCGAACCTGTTAAGAGACCTACACCTTAGTTATGACGTATAGTTCACCTTATGATATACTGTTTACACCTTAATTATTAGTGTATGGTTGATCCTACACCTAATTCATGGTGTATAGTTCATCCTATTAATGTATTAGTGTATGGTTGACCTTACAGCTTATTCATGGTGTATAGTTCATCCTATTAATGTATTAGTGTATGGTTCAGTAAGCGCATGAATAATTGAACAGTGTTACAGTCAGGCATTTTAGTATTTGTGGTAAAAATTATTATCAAACAAAATTTTATTTTAGACAAAAATTTTCAATATGATTTTTCTTTTATCCTAGGCCATACACCAACTGGCCATAACCCCAACTATTCATCATATGGCCACAACACAACCCTGGCCATCTCAACCTCGCGTGTAACCTCGTGTTCCGGTAGAGTCCGCCTTGGCCAGATTGTGGGTGAATTATATTAGTACATTGGCATAATCTTACCCGTATTAGGTCACACTTGGCTCCTCGCACCAACACGCAACACAACCATCACCGATAATTGACATAACCACCTCCTCCTCCTCCTCCTCCTTCCTACTCTACCTCCTTCCTCCTCCTCCTCCTCCTCCTCCTCCTGCCCAATGCCTTCACCCTCTTCCTCACACCCACTCTTGCCATGGCTGAGACAACGTCCCTCCCTCACACTAGAGCTAAGACCCCATCCTTCCCTCATACTTTCCCTCAGATCAAAGATAGGAAGCCCTCCCTCCCTCCCTCCCTCCCTCCCTCCTTCCTTCCTTCCTTCACACTAGTATTATGACTTATCGTAAGGATGACGGAATGATATTAACGAAGCGAAAATATGACAAAAGTGATGTAAGAATTTTTCGAAATATAGAACTGAAATTTTTACAAGACACCGAACGGGATTTTTTTTTTATAGACAATCTTGTCTGTATTGAGGTGTACAGTTGAACGACCCTCACAGCGCACCCTCCCACCCATTTCCCCTCCTTCCCGCCCCCCCCTCTCCCTCACACCCCTCCCATTACCCGCACCAAGTGAGGAAATCAAGCAAAAACAGATTCCTACTCGTGATTCATAAGTCTTTAAAGCAGAATCTATTGTTCCTGGGTTTAGTAACCTCCCTTGAACCCTCAGGTCTTCCAGTCGTCCCTAATCAAGCTGGGTAAAAGAAACCCTTGAAGAGCCCTGACTGATAGTAGGCGTCCGGCTCCTCATTTTCTGTATGTTGGGGGTGGGGGGAGAGAAAGAGGGGGGGGGGGGCTCACGCCACTGACAGACAGCCTGACACGCCACCGATACCTCCAGGGCGGGGAGGGTCCCACTTGTTGCTGTTGGCTGTTTAAGGGGTGTAATGTGAGGTCACGGGGCCACAGGGGTCAGGTGGGGTGGGTCACGAAAGAAACAGAGGGTTAGCACTTGTACTAAACGCGGCGACACGGTGTAAAAACTAACCCGGTATAGCAGGAAAACTTCAGAGATAAATTACTGGTTGTGTTAGTCACGAGGTCTCATTTTTTTTCATAAATCTTACTTCTTGTAAAAGGTAATTGTTAACGACCCGAGGAACTTAACACTTAACCCTTACTTAATGGATTTTTTTTCAATACACAACTTACAGGGAAATGGGTTGACTAATGGGAGGAAATTTAATGGTTAAACTCATCATAATATGAGTTTTTTGTTAATGGGTGAGTTAACTGTGCGTCTGGGTAATGGATCAGTGATTATAGGTTAATTAGTAATAACACCAAGGTAAATCACAATGTTTGGTGGTAAGTGGCCCTCACCTCACCTTCACTACGCCACGCCCGCTGCCTCCCTCCACGCCACAAAATGCTCACAGTTTCACCAGCGCCAACACTCCGCTCTGTAATCACCATTATCAACACGCACTAATGGCGCTCAACCTGGCCACAATATGTCTACCATAAATCTGACGCCAATACGGCACCACCATCAACACCATCAACACCATCGTCATTGTGGATCACTAGTCTTATCACCAGCACGCCACGCTTACCACTACCTTCACCATCATCACTACCACCACCAGTCACCCTCTTCCTCACCACCACCATGACCACTCTCACCATCGACACCATAATTACCATCGCAATATCACCCAATAGAACAGTAAACAATCACCATCACTACCACAATCCCCAACACCACACCACCACCATCACCACCACGACCACCACATAAAACCAACACCCACCCCCCCCCCATCAATCACCACCACCACCACCACCACCACCGCCACTACCACCACTACCACCACCACCACAATCAGCAGGTGAACGGTACACAAGAACACAGGCGGAGGAACAGAGGGTGGCAGTGCTCGGCGTAAAAGGAAGACAGTAATGATCGTAATATCTGTAATTAATATGCACTCCGTGGCTGGGGTCTGGATCCGGTAGTCAGTTGCTGGATGGCGTGATAGAGGAGAGCGAACGAGGTAAACAAAAAAGTCTGGAGACAATAGCAGGTGTACAGGGAGGGAGGGGGGGGGTAGGAGAGAGGGAGAGGTGAGGGAAGGAAAGAAGGTAGGAGGGAAATGCAAGTAGGGATGAAGGTAAGGAGGGAGGGAAAGAGGGACGGAAGGAGAGAAGAAAGGAGGGAAATGTAAGTAGGGAAGAAGGAAGGAGAGGTAGAGAGAGAGAGAGAGAGAGAGACAAACACTGATACTCCACCTTCTACACCTCTCCCCATGTCTTTTACGCCCCGTGTCTAACTCAAGGAAATACTCCGTGGAGAAAACGACAAGATGTGTGACGCAACAATGTTCACGTTGAAGAAAATTGTCAAATTGGAAAGTAAAGGAAATATATTGAAGAAAATACCAGGAATTAAGATACACAGAATTGTATAAAAAAAGAGAGAGAGAAAAGTGAGATTTAGAACATACGGAGACTAAGAGAGAGAGAGAGAGAGAGAGAGAGAGAGAGAGATGTTTCCGTAGAGTCGCGGAGTTATGAGTGTCGAGAAGGAGACGGGGGTTCCTCACTCACAACACCACGTCAGTAATCTATGTCTTTTGAAGTCACATTTGGTCTTTGTCTCAACCAATGGCGTCGGCACCCTGGGGGAAATAACTCAGGAGAAGAAGTCTGTGATACCTACAATTAAATGGTAATATCTGGGTTCCTCAAACGATAATAGCGAAGTTTGTGGGAGTTATTGTGGGAGTTAGAGATTGATCATCCAACATCAACTGATTATTACGTTGCCGTCCTGGTACACCGATAATCAACCTCAATCAACTTCACTATGACATGATTTTTTGACGGACAATATGTGGTCCAACGGAGGTAATATCGGGAGGTAGTATTGAGGAAACACTGAGGAGAGGGAGAAGAGGGTTTAAGAAGTGAGGAAAGGAGGGAAGGAAGGAGTAACGCCATAACTCACCGTAGTGGTCGCGCGGAGCCATCTGTTGCCCACCTTAACATGCAACAACAGCTTATAATGTCGGCACAAAAAACTCCTCCATGTGGTTTTCGATTGCATGCAACAATTGTGTGAGAGAGAGAGAGAGAGAGAGAGAGAGAGAGAGAGAGAGAGACCGCCTGATATGATTGCCAGATGACGTGATTCCGTTACCGACATAGATTTACCAGATACCCGTTGTTTTGTTTTTTGTGTGTGACGCGAGAAAGACCAGAGTTGATATCCACTGTTTTTTTTTGTTTTTTTACCTTCCCGACGAGGTTATCTATGTGTTGATTAACTTACAGGTGTTTTAAAAGTTACCTGAGTAGTTAGAGCTGTGTAAAGACGGTAAAGTAATGGGTCTTGTTCTTTTACTCACAACAGAAGCGGAGGAGTCATGGCTGGCCAGTGTATGTAAACAACAGTCAGCCATAAGACATCAAGATCCCCAAGTCAGAAAAAAAAAGTAATCCCCATAAAACATATTAATATTTTGTTTCCAATTATACTTTAGGGTTTGTCCTCAGTTACGGAAGATTGAAGGAAATATGTTTAGTGTTGGTAAATATAATGTTTACCGACTGATCACTTTCACTATTCTGGTCGTGTACTAAACATATGAATTTTGGTGCGATAATCAATGAATGGGAACTTGGGAACAACTATAGATAACAATTAATAATTATAGAGACTTTGTACATCACAAAATAACACATAAGATGCGAGAAGAAACTCTTGCAACATGAAAACAATGAAATCCAGACACGTTTACTCGGTCTTTGTTTAGCGAGTCCGTCGGGGTGACTTGGCCAACTCTTCCGGTCCTGTCGGCGGCGGGTGTGAGCAAACCTCACATAAACACACAACCAGTCACCTTCAACCCGCACCCCAGGTCGACCGGCCCGCTAATTAACTGGAGGTAAATGTCTAAGAATCTTCAGCGTGACCAATGCGTTTAGGATTAGACACGTCCCTCACCTTTCTGCACACCGTCGCTTCACATCAGCTCCGACGAGGCCAGTACGGGGCCGGTGTGGCCATGTAAGGACAAAGATTCCCAATAAACACAGGTTGATTGTGTGCTGTAGTTCAGGTACAGGTTCGATGATTCAGGTAAGATTAAGGATTTTTAATGAGAAAAGACTTTGTTTACATCAACGTGTAGAGGATGAACTAAGGTGGCAGACCTCAAGGGGTTAAGATATCACACTCAAGAGATTAAGACATCGTACTCAAGGGGTTAAGATATCGTACGCAAGAGGTTATGACATCATACCCAAGGGGTTAAGGCATCGTACTCACGGGGTCAAGACATGATACTCAAGAGGTTACGACATCGTACGCAAGGGGTATGACATCATACTCAAGGGGTTATGACATCATACTCAAGGGGTTATGACATCATACTCAAGGAATGAAGTCACTATACTCAAGGCAAGCGTCATTCGAGTATGGGAGAACCAACCACAACCCACCAACCCATCCACCCACCAAACACCTCTCGCCTTCCTTGCCTTCCCGAAAACCCAGCAAAATAATAATTCCAGCCACTTGGGAGGACGGAGACGACGACG